AAAGCTATATACAAATTTGAAATACTTTGGTTTTCTATTATTGTTTTTTTTTTACTTCGTATATAAGTACATTAGTCATATACACGTTATCAATCAACTTTACAAATTAATTTTATCGGATTGGATATAAGTATACAGCGCACCATATATTCATTTTTTAGTCAGCAGTATATAAAATTTAATTGGGAGAAGAAAATATATGTGTGATAAAAGTGGCAAATATTGACGGCGTTTTTGAACTATTAGTCTATGTTAGTATATCAATCTAATTACAAAAACACCATATAATTATAGGCAAATCAACTCTCTTCTCTTAAGTCTTTCTAAAGTATTCCTGAGGACCCATCAAGTCCATTAACGCAAGCGTTAGATAAACATAAACAACGCTCGTGAAGTAACAAAACCATTTGATTTTTACTATTATCATTCTAACAACCTAATTAGACTAATTTATTTAAATTTATTTATGCGTAATTCGATTCGGCTAACAATTTGATTTAAATGATTCCGTGATCCGGCGAGATAAGCCTTGAAACCTCAGCGTCCGACGGGCCGCCTTGAATTTCTTTTAATAGAATGTATCGTTGTTTATCGTTGATGGTTTTGAATCATTAGAATGATTTCGTAAATGAATAGATATTTGTTACCAAATATCAAATTTGTCAGTCTATGATTCTCAATCAAAATCTGGCTTATATATACTTTCATAAGTTGAATATTAAACTAGCTGTAAGTGGAATTCTGTCTTAAGGCAATTAGGGCATCGTGCCTTAAGGCAAATTGCTGGAACTTCCCGTACCAATAATTATTATTTTTTTTTAAAACGATTAACATTTTTGAAAAAAAATTACTTTGAAAAAATAAGATTTTTGAGAAACTATAAATTGGACAAAAAATTAGTTTTTTTTTTGAAAAAAAAAATTTTAAAAAAAATTTTTTTTTTTTAATTTTTTTTTTTTTTGAAAAAAATTTTTTTTTTCTTTATTTTGACATATTGTGGAAGATCTGAACTTTTTTTTCAAAGCAATCGTACTGCTTTAACTACATAGGGACAAAATATAAAGCGCGTAAGCGCCGCGTCGCTGTCTAACGCATAAGCATTGGTACGGAACCGATAGGAATGTTAACAAAATGTATACTTATTGTTAAAATCTCTATAAAATGTCTGATAATTTGATGTGCATATGTCTAATGATCATTTTTGACCGCCAAATGGCTCATTTTTTTACTTTTTCCTCTATATCTCCGAAACCGCTAGACCTACCTTTATGAAAATTTTATAGATTCTTCATCTTGTCAATACAAGTGAAATGTTTTTTGAATTATTAAAATCGGACGCTCCGTTCTCTTAAAAACTGAGTTACCGTTTTCGGAACTTTTTGCCCCGTATCTTCGGAACGGCTTGACCTGCCTTTGCCAAAAACTAATCAGCACGTCTCCTTATCAATACGGATCGAATGTTTTTTGAATTATTCAAATCGGTTGTTCCGTGTTCCCGAAATCGTCGACGAAAATTTGTATCCGCACATACATACACACACATACATACATACACACACACATACACACACACATACACACACACACACACACACACACACACACACATACATCCATTTTTTCTAAGGTATGCCAAAATGTTCAGAAACCTCTGAAACGTAAAGATATATAAAAATTTTCATTTTCGATTTTTTTGCGATTACTATAACTTGCCCTACGGGAAGTTAAATACAAAGAAAATTCTTAATTTAGAGACTCTTATTTAAAATTTTAGAGACAGACACGTATAAAAATACATATACCTAATATTGGAATAAACACCTTAAATTCATACATTCATTTAATACGCGTGTTTTTTTTTTCAATTTCACGTTGTAGAATTTTCTATTTGAATATATTTAGTATTATTACTACAACTGCAGAATTATACAATTTTATAAGAATTTACCATTATTTCATGATTACAAGCAAAATTTACCATTATTACCATGATTACAAGAAAACAAAATATTTTACAAAAAATTCAATATGATGTAACTAATATATATTTTTAACCGTTTGAACTAAATTTACATATTTTTAGATTACTAAATAAAAATTAGTCATTAAAATACTCAGATTTAGTTACTTTACAAATGATAAACTGCAACAATGTTGTTTGTGATATGTAACAAGGGTATTCTATTAAAATTTCAGTTCTAATAATGATTATAAAATTAATATTTTTAACATGTTTTAAAGTAATTGATATATTTAGATATTTTGTAATATGTACTTGAATTTGAATTAATATCATCTAACATGAACATTAAATGATAAAATAAAATCGAAACTTCTGATATACAAATAACTCGGAATTTTTTACAATTTATATGTGTCAATAAAATTCGACAAGACATTTAAGTCCTTACAAAAACTTTTCAATATTTTATAAAAATCATGCATAGAGGTGAAAGTCTGACGAATTTGTATACATAATAGTATATATAATTTGTTTATATAATCTCGTCTAATTTTTTTATGCTTTTAGGGGCCAAAACAAATCGCCAATTTTTCTGGCGAAATTTTTCATAATGTATATATATTAGGGTAGTCCTTAATGTGGACATTTTCGAATTTCCTTGCTCCCAAGGGCTGAAATGGTTCCAAATTAATAAAAAACAATTCTCTGAAAGTTTTAGCTCTTAATATTGTAGTTATTAATATTGTATTTGTGTAGCTATTAATATTGTATTTTAGATAGAGCGCAATTCAAACAAAGATTTGTATGGAAATAGCATGAAAAAATTTTCAAAAATTTTGCAGAGCGTGGAATTTTCAATAAAAAATGAAACAAATTTTCACTTTTAATTCATTTGTCGCTAAGTTATACCTAAAAAATTTTTTTTTTAATTTTCATTTTTTTTCCAATTCTTCAAAGTTTCATACGAAAGTTGTATGCAGAGCGATTTTTATAAAAAAAAATGTGCTAATGGAATAGGTATTTCAAGCAAAAGTTGCATTTATTCTATTTGTGATTCTTGTATTTCAAGAAATAGTAAGCCTTTTGATGATAAATTATACCTACTACTACCAAAGCCAGATTTATAAAGTAAATTTATGAAAGTAGTAAGAGTTGATAAAATGTTTTATTTATTGTGTTTGAAAATTCATATTTAAATTATGAAAAATGATGAAAATTCATCATTTAAATTATTTTAATTATCATATTAAATTATTTTTAATTTTGTTATTCAATCTAATAATTAAATGATTCGTGTTGATTAAATAATGCAGCTATTATTCTATGAAATCTTTTTCAAATTGCAAATAAATTGATGTATCTTTTTGCTCCCGGGCAGAACCTTTTTACCCCACCTATGAGGTAAAAAGCACCAGGTGACAATTTTTTGAAAAATAGAGAAAAAAAAACATATTTCTACAATCATGAATTAGCTGGGGTTTTCTTTTAGTGAACTTAGTCAGAACACATGTTTGTTCGATATGTGGTATTTTTTATGATGTAATTGGTTTTTACTATATGATTGTTTAAAGACAAAATGGACCTTTGTGCTCCGCGCCACCTTATATATAATGTCAAATATTTTTATATTCTCAATTATTACAAAATTATAAAGAAAGTACTTTCCCGTCTTTTCATTACGAACATTGCAATATTCTAATTTCAGTGTGCGATTTAACTTTGTGCCAATATGCAATAAAAATAATAAAATTCTAATTTATTGCATAAATTATTCTTCATGAACAATTGCGTTTGGATTTTTAAGAGTAGGTACGTTCAACTGAACCCATATAAATTTAATTCAAAATATTTTTATATAATAGTAAATTGATATGTGCATATAAAATCATCAGTATATGAAACCACACATAGTCTGATAAATTTGAGAAATATGTTGAGAAACACTGCTTTACTATAGTATGATGAGCAATTAAAATTTGTAAATAGTAATATTTGTAGTAATTAAATTTTTCGTGTTCTACTAATAATGTTATAAAAATTATAGTTTTCCCGATAAGCAATTTTCAATATCAGATTTATGTGTGTGCGTGCCTTTAATCTATTTAATTGATCTCTTTTAATTAATCTGATCAGTGTCGTTAGTATCAATATCATGAATAATAAACACGAGTGCTAATGTGTTGTGTAACGCTGACTGTTTTAACATCTAGCATTGTAAATCAGTCGCTACATAAGCGTTTTATAGAGACTTAATAATTTCAGTGATGCAACTTTTAAACTAATAACTAATCATATTGTAATCATTAAATTTGGTGTCACTAAATATTTGCCCTTGTCATGTCTATAGTATGCAAATTTATCTTTACCGCGAACTCTGCCAATGAATAAATTATTTAGAAAACTCTATTTTTCATGTGTATAATCGAAAGATCAAACAAGGTCATTTAACCTAATGTTGATCTTTCAACAACATAATTACTTTAAAAGCCGCGGAATGTTTTCTGCATGCATAATTTTAACTGATACCGATGGTTTCAATACGATAACTGTCACAATTTGCTATGTAGACAATAAGAATTATAATACGCACACAAAATAATTCACAAATTGATAGAGAACCAGTATTTTTCATTCAACATGTGAATGCTTATCCTATTGACTTTGTGCGATAATTACTTATCAGTCTTTTATGAGTAATAAGCATGATTGAGGATTATAACTCCTATTATAAGTAATTAACGATGAACACTTTGCAGAAAATTAATGTTAAAAAACCGGACAGTTCAGTTAAGCATTTAATTCGTTTTTTTTTTTAAATTTATATGGGAACATCACCAAATTATTGGTATTACTTAGAATATCTATCTAAATCAAATGACAATCCATTGATTGTACGTCCGCCGGCATTTAGTATTATTATAGAATCTCGAAGTACCCATCAAGATAAAAATTAAAAAATAGAAAATATATATGATATAGGATGATAGAAAATTTGTATGTTCCTTGTTTTTTAAATAAGAAAATAATTCTAACTCACCCCATGCTGATGGTTGCCTGCCCAAAAAACTGCCCTCGTCCGGATTGTAGCATCCCTGCCGGAACTTTTCCCAGTTAGTCCGCTTATCCGCTCTCCTCATATATGGAAACTCGTATGTGATGACTTCTGTTCCATCGCGTCCAACTATTTTCTCCATCACGAACAAATTGAACGTACACAATTATTAATTTATTCAACAACAAATAAATTTATTCACTAAAAGATAAAATTAGAAATAAAAGATGCGGTTATATTATGAATTATAAACAGTTCAAATCGTTAGTTCTTATGTTGTATTCTGGGTAAGGAAATTTGTTTAGTTCACTGAATAACATGTGGGTAGTTCAGGTAGAGATTTGTTTCGGATCACTGGTCATAATTTGTGTCACGGAGAAAAATCGTGAAGAGGCCCCGGGTGTAAATTTGAACGCGGCACCCGATACTTGCGATGGTCGATGGTACACTGATCAAGCGACCAGTGTTCCCCGTACAGGCGCGTAATCTGTATTGGACTCTGCTTTACACGCCACATCTCGCTAGTGATATCTCTGCGCCACTATAAGACTTCTTTTTATATTTTTTCGTTCATATAATGTTTAATATGCTAATGCCGTATGAGACTCAGATAATTTACATCGGTATTGGTTCGCGGACTTGCTGTGTAAACATGTCAAATCGTTCGCTATTAAAAGTAATATAATGATGAGCCATGAGGAGAGTACAAGGGGGCAACGTGACGCCTAGTTTCAGAGCATAGATAAGGATTGTTAATATTGATAACGCGTTGTCGAACGCAATACATGGAAGTCGCACGCAATGCTTTTGCTCTTATCAGTGCAATATAATAAAACACAAGTTAATTTAGTTAGTAATAAGATAAATTTCGTATAAAGGTAATTTATTATCTGCATACGCTAAGTAGCCATGCTCATTCATTGATAAGACAGGTGTATTATGTACTTCCTGAATGACATTATCACAAGTATCGATCAGATCTTAACAATGTTGAAATTAATTTTTTTTAACTTTTGCTTTTGTAATTTACAGAAAATGGAAGAAAAACTAAAATGAAATTTTTTGCATATTTTTACGTTTCAAAGCATTTTGTCCATTTTGGCATACCTTGGAAAAAATAGATGTGTGTGCATACGTATATGTGCAGAAAGTATGTATGTTTGAATACACTTTTTTTTGTCCACGATTTTGAGAGCATGGATCAACCGTTTTGAATGATTCAAAAAACATTTGATTCGTATTGAAGGGGAGACGTGCTGATTAGTTTTTGGCAAAGGCAGGTCTAGCAATTTTAAAGATACCGGACAAAAAAGCAAAAAATGGCAATTTACTTTTTGAGAGAACAAAGCGTTCAATTTGAACGATTCAAAAAGAATTTCACTTGTATTGACGGAACAAAGAATTGATTGGAAATTAAGGAAAGACAGGTTTTACGGTTTCGCTCAGAAAATTTCATTTGGCGGTGAAAATGATCATTAGACAAATGCACAACAAATTATCAGATATTTTATAAAAATTTTATTAATAAGTACAAATTTTGTTTACTTTTTAATGGGTTTCATACCAACATTTATAATGTTTAACCGTCATTTTTTTAACAGCAATCAAACAACCTAGCCCATTATTTTCCTCAAACGCTCTTCTATTTTATGTATAAACTACAAATATTAAGATTTACATATATGTCGCAGCAACGCCCACGAAATGCGATTTTTACTTACGATAGTATTTGAAATGTATAACATCAAGTCAAAATTTGGCATCATACTGCTTGACATCGAGCCAGTTCAGATTGGGATCAAACCAGGGTCTAGTTTGTGCTAACTCACGTCCTTATCTATTACACCATGACGGGCCCATAAACAAAAATTAACTAACCTATTACGATTATACAAATCACTTAATCATTAATATCCTTAATTGAAATTTTTGAACTTTTCAATCAAATACATTATAAACTCTGTTTACGACTTTTATCTAAATTTGTATGTGTAACTAATTTCTCCGATAATTAAACTCAGCATAATTCTAGAGGGCAAATGCCCCTTTGTTTACCATTTTTAGATCACAAATGCTAATTCTTCAGTACCAAATCTTAAACAAAATCTATGTCGAACATTTAATACAAGACTCGTAATGTTTATTTTGTTTTTTCTTCTAATTTCATTTCAATTTTCACTAATTTATAAGGATCAATGTAAGAGCATTCAAACCATTTATAAGCATCGATGTAAGAGCATTCAAACCTGACTACAACTAATATTAGACTTGCATTTATTTCTTTTGAATATATAAATAATACAAAATAATTTGTTTTTAAAAGTAAACATTAATTGATCATTGATTCATTTTAAAATCTACCGTAATAATAAATTTGTATATCGACGGGATTCATATACGTAGTTCTAAATCATAAAGTTTAAAAATATTTTTAGCCGTTAATTTTTATCCAACTTTTTAGTATCAATATATTATTGCAAAAATTTGATTATTAATGAATAAAAATAGACATAATTAAAAGAATTCCTAACCTATTAAGAGTTTTAATATTGCATAGGCCATAGGGCAATGGTGCGCCAGATAATTTAACTTTTAGCTAACATTGCTATTCGAAGTACTTTCATATTATAACATTCATTTCTTCATTCATTTGAATTTTAAGCTGATTACAAATACCGAAGTTCTACCTGAAGCTTTTTTATATTGTGCTCTTTATCAGAGAAAGGTCTAGAGTTTATATCCCCAATAAATACCAACAGAATAATAAAGCTTGTAATAGACAGTCAAACTTTTTAATCTGGCGCCTAATATACGTGTTTGAAGAGTCGTAAAGTCAGAAGATGTAATTTTATGAAAACTATGATTCGAAAGATTTTGATCTTCCATGCACAACACATTATACTATAATAATTATACTAATGGAAATAATCAGTAATGTTTAAAAATGAAAAGAACAGAAAAACTGTGTTTTTAATTGGTTATTCATGCAATTTAAAATATATAAAATAATTGTTTCAAAAATATAACTTATATTACTAATCATTAGTATTTGAACTTTTTTGCCAGTACCAATATTTTATGAGACAAAACATATTATGATGTGTATACAGAAATTCGCTTCAATACGAGTTTCGTTCTCTCTTCGTGTTTAGAATTTGAAAAACGATTATTTTCATAAAATAGTTTTGTGTTAATTAACACATTTATATTGCAGCTGTCAAATGTTTTTCCAATATAACTAATATATAACTAACAAAAAAGTGAAGTTATTCCGAAAAATACGAATATAAATTGAAGATCAATCCCTTGATCCTTAAATATATAACTGTCGAAGGACTAGCTGACAATTTTTCTCATATTTCGGTTATAAAATTGTTACTAGAGTCATATTTTCAATTACAAATATTAATTCAAATTACTTTATTAAGCAAGGAGTTCAATAATATTAGAATACGTTTAAATACAATGATCTCTGTTTGCTTAAAGCTTTTTAGTGTCATTTTGTACTTGTGAAGCTTTTTAGGTCAAATAGAGATACTATGCAATTTTATAACTTCGAAAGTTCAATTAATTTTATGATATTTATAATTTGAAATTTAAATATATTTTACTTCATGATTTTAAGCTTCAAATCTTTTTTAGAAAACTGGTTCAATGTTACTATGAGGTTTTGTTACAAATTATTATTGTTGAACTTAAACCATGCAAATATATTTGCATATACATAAATTTTTGAATATTATCGAATTTAAAAACTAAACTAGTGGGGTGTATGGCATCGTGCCTTAAGGCAAATTGCTAAAACTTTCCGTACCGTAACAAAATATTTGAGGAATATTAAATATTTTCAAATAGATTTTTATGAATATTGTAACATTGTCTAATATTTAGAAGAATTATATAAATTAATTTGCAAAGTTGAAATTATTTGTTTAAAGTATATTAGAACTAGAATAGAAATCTATTTGAACTGTGCACTTATATATTTATTTGACATATAAAATATTTAGAATTAAGCGGTTATTATTTAAGAAAATGCGAATAACTCAAGTTTTAGTTAGCTTTTAGTGTATAATTTATTGGAAAATTAAAATCACTGCTATAATAAATAGATGAACAAAGGGGCTAAAGAAATGAATTTCAATTTTATCTATAGTCAAGTTTAATTAAATTCAATGCAGGTCAGTAATAATCCCGAGAGAAATCTGCAATCGTGATTTTAATTTGAAGCTTAAATAAAGTATATATATATATACACACACACACACACACACACACACACATATATATATATATATATATATATATATATATATGTGCTAGAAAACTTGAGATTTTTTATTAGTAGTCTTAACATGTATTCAAATAAATAGTGCGGTAACCGAAAATGATAACACACATTGTATTAGCAACGATAGTAGTCAAGTACATGTTTTGAATTTTTAATTAAACTTTTTGTTCAGTTCATATTCCGAATGATTTAATAAAATAAACAAATACTTATTTATTCATAACATTATTTACCTATATCATACATACGTAATTTGTTTCACGCATTACGTAATATAATGTCCAGTGAAATTCATGAGATTTCGTACTAAAGGAGTCCAAATGAAATCGTTTATTTTTCCGTTTTTCCGTCCGTTGTTTGTTCGATACGATTAGTTTAACAGATTACATATATTGTCATATATATTATATAATTAACTTTTCGAAAGAGAAAATTGTATATTCGCCATGCTAATTTTACGTTTTCCGGCATTTTAAGTCATTCGTTTAACACCGTAAGCATTTTAAAAATATCGTTTATCACACTAAACTGGAAAAGTTTAAGTTATGTGAGGAAAAAGTTGACCTTTAGACGGCGTTTTCTAAAAAATCGATTTCAAAAATGTATGATCCATTTAATGAATCTCGATAAGGACTCGACTTGCTCAGAATTAGCAAAAAAAAGTGCATAAAAAGGATCACGTTTCAAAAAACAAACTCAATCCTATAGAAACCAAAGTCCTGAATCTATTTTGAAAATTTAAAAATCGTTTGATAGATATGATAAGGAATCGCGCTGTTTTGTGAAGATCGGTCGGAGCGTTTTTTTGTTTAAATGAATAGTAGATTTTTTTAATTTTTTCTCCTAAAACGATGATTTCATTGTCTTAACGAACATTCAAAAATATAAATCTACAAAAAGTGATTTAATTATAAATATTCTCTAAAATTAGGGATAATGATTTGCGTGAAAATTTTGAAATCATTTCAAACAAAATGTTACTAAATCTCAACTTTTATTGAGAAAACAGACTATTTGCACGTATTTATAGGTTTATGCAACTATTTTTAAGAGAAAAAGCCACACCGAAATTGAATATTCACCATTGCCTAAGTAGTAAATTAGTGCTAGTCTTGGGGTTAACAAAATGTCAAGAAAAATTTGAACTTTGCTAATAAAAACTACTTCAATTATTTGCAGATA